CGAAATGATTTAATTGAGTATAAAAAACATATAATTTTATGCTTAAAAGCCACACATTTTTGTGTGCATTTAAATTTTTGATTTCGTTTGCAAATCGTGTCTCAATAATAGGAGTGAATATATATTTTACATGTAATTCAAACATTGATTGATGGGTTAGTTTTCTCTCTACATAAAACACATAATAGTATTGTACTCTTGGTTACAGTACTTCTTCTCGTTCACCATCTCTGATGGTGTAATGGTTTGCATAGATTGCAGAAAAAAACTGATAGTTAAGTGCAATCGACCAGTTCTTGTTAATGTAATCATTTCAAGGGAATCCAAAACAGCAAAAACTACAAACTTTTACAATCATTTCGCATTCTCTCTCTCTCTCTCTCTCTCTCTCTCTCTCTCTCTGCAAAAATGTCTTACGAGTTGATGCAGAAGCAAAAAATATACAAAAACAACATATATATAACTTTTTCCGATTCTCTCCTCAAAGAGTATCCAATAATAAAAAGTGAGTTTCAGAACCAAATCAGTGGAAAAGTAAACTGAATATAAGAAATACTGGTTTCGATACTTCTTGTGAAACACAATACAAATACTGTTTTATAAATAATCGGAGAGAGAAAATAAATATCACTATTTCTGGTATTCTCGTGTATATAACACACTGTATATAACGTTATATCAAATGTGAGCCAAAGAAATGCATTTATTTTTCAGGTTTTTTGGGATAAAAAAGTGTATTTTCTCCCAAACGTTGACATCAATAGAATTATTTATGGAAATATACGGATAAACAGTATTATATTTCTCGCTTAACAGTCAGAATAAGTACACATATCTACTGTATATACCGGTAATACACGGGCTATGAATGCAATGCCTGTTATAATACCGACGGCTAATGTATTGAACAGTGAGAGAGAAAAATAAAATATAAAGTGATTTTCGCTCACAAAATACACTTTTATCTCTTCGCACATCATATGTGTTACGATTCGGAGGGGGTTTTGGGAAATACTCACATGAATTACACACAAAATATATACAAAACCGAGTGCTGTATTGCTTCAACAGTGAGAGAGTGAGAGAGAGAGAGAGAGAGAGAGAGAGAGAGAGAGAGAATTGTTTTGAGGGTTCAATAGTATTAAGCCATGCATTCACACGAATTATGGCATTACGTTCAGGTAGTGTAGAGAAATAGCTCGTTAAAAAAGGCCTCGCGTTTCTGGTATTTCGACACTCAAACCGGCGCCCTATGCTCTGGTGGCTGTCGGGGATCAGCCATACCTATCGGTCGTATACAATGTGTATATACTGTATATGATTGAGAGCACAGGTAGCAACACATGGACACACAACTAGCTAACTAATCAGCCGAGAATGACTCATCACAGCCGACACACACACACAACACAATACAAAACCGACGCTAAACACAACAGCGAAAGATAATTCATTAACGTATTCAAGCGTTTGAATGAATGCAACAAATCATTAATGAATTTTAATATTTTCTCATTCATCCACTCTCTGGGCCTGTCGTTCAATATTACGCAAAACGACAAATCATTTTTCACTATTCATTCAAAATCATTATTGAATTTGTGATCAAAGGCTTTGAAACACAAACTGCAGACACAACACAACAGACAGACGGAAAAACTCGCAATCGATTAATAATTATTTTATTTTTTTTGTTATTCTTTCTCCTGTGAGGGAAACACACCGTTTGGGATGTATTATATATATTATATAATTTTTTGTTTTGCTCTTTCAATGAATATTACATATAAAATACATACAAAGTATTAAATATATACATACATAGTATGTAAAAACCATTTTCCAGAGAGAAAATTAAAATAACTGCCAGACTATGAAACTTTTGCAGCGCTTTTAATGATTATTTTATTATTGAAATGTACTTTTTGTTACTCTTTCACCCATTGATATATCCATTTATATGCGAAATAAATATTATAAAAGTGATTATTAAATTTTGTGCTTTTCAAAAGCAGTTATACATTATATATCTGCGATCATTACGTGAATATTAATCGCAATATTAATATACAATACATAATTCAATTCAATTCAAAACAAACACCAGAGCCTACTCTAAGTCCTCATTATATATCAGAGTTTCACGTATTGTTTGGTCGCAAAAATTATATCATTTCGGGTGTGGAGTGAATGGATATAATTGGTGGGTATATATGGCATGTATTGGATGTGCGGTTTCAATGTCACTGCCATTTCCACACAAAGCTCTGGCATATGTTTTTTGTAACTCAGGAATCGGTAGGTATTGAGAGATAGTTAGACAACAAGAGAGAGAAGCTGAGGAAAAAATAAGGGCAAAAACTGATGGCAATGGCAATGAATTGATTGCATTGCTCTTATGGGAAGTACACAATCTGGTAATTTGTAGGAAAAAGTGGCGCAACTTCTCTCTCGCAAACTCTCTATAGTTTTAGTGATACAACACATCAAATGACTATCGATTTTATGGCCAGAATTTGTCAGCACATCCGCACCACAGCCTATATTTACTGTCTATATATCTGTGCCCTAACTCTCACGGGTTTGGGGGAAAAGGGCAGTCAAAACACACGAACGACTGGTAAATGTGGAGCTAATATATTAGACATAAGGAGTACGTGTCCAACATTTCTGATTGCCTTTTACTGTCGTCGACACTGTCTTGTAATCTAATGTCGAGTTTAAGAAGTCAACAGCGAAAACTGGTCGTGTGATCGACACAACCAGCGCTGGACAGCACTTGGATGTGAAGTCCGCTGCAGATGTCTTGTATCTCTTGTCGAGTGAGTCCAGCAGAAAGTGTGTCGCAAAACAGATTAGACGGACGACGGCTTTCCAAAGCCATCGATGGATAGAGAAAATCAAAACAAAATATATTGCTTTCGATTTGTTTTTCGTGTTCTTATGATTACTGACAGAAAACTAAGAGTATGTTTGACTTATTAAACACATACACACAGAGTATTGAGCGATTGGAGAGAGAGAGAGAGAGAGAGAGAGAGAGAGAGAGAGAGAGATTGGAGTGAGAAGTGGCACTCATATCTGGCCGTATGTTATTTTATGATATGAATTGAGTGGCAATATATGTGTATTTAATATGTTTTCCGTTGAACTGAAGTGAACCGACACATAGATTGTTGTCCGAAAACCCACACAAATGTATCAAAAAATTTATATAAATATCAAGAACTTTAACACAAGAAGAAGGAGAGCAGAGCTGTATATCATTTTTTATGCATTTAAAGCAATGTTTTTGCGATAATATATTCAACTTATTTGAGATAAATAGCGAGAAGAAGAGTAAAGAGGAAAAAGGGTTTAAACAACAAGAAATTGATAATAGATTTTGAGACTAATTTATGACTCGAAATCGGCGGTGGGTTTACATAGAGAACACATATCTCTGCGAATATTATATAATATTTTATACACAGATTTAGCGCACTTTTTATGGGCATTAATATAAACACAAATGTGTTATCAAATAATACTCAATCATTAAAGCGTATAAAATATTACTCGCAATAAAAATATTACAGCATTTTCTCTGAGAATTCAATTAATACTTCACTCAAAACAAAAGGCAGAGACAGAGGAGAGACCGGAGAGGAAGAGAATTAGAGAGAGAATCAGATAATGACTTTCGAGTGGAGAATCATAAAAATCTTAAGCTTTTTTTAGCTCAACATAAATAATAATTTCAAACCAAATGATAATAATGAGTGGTTTTAATAATAATATAATAATTCATGTAATAATATATAATACAAATAATACTAATGTCGTAAGTCATCGGATGGTTGTATATAAGTGTATGTCTTATGATAGAAATTTATACATGATATGTATTTTTGGGTAATATGTTATTTAAAGCGCCCACGAGTTTAATTCCTGGTGAAGGCCCTAAACACAAGTCCCCATCCCTTACATAACACATGGGTTTTGACCACAAAATTAATGATTTTTACAGATTTTTATATAAGAGTATTATTAATATAAGAATACTATTTATATATTGCTATTATTTATATACAATTTATTTATGTATATATTATTTAAGGAAATAGTTGTAAAATTAAAATATGATAAACAAAAGAGAAATATAATAAAAAGAAAATTATTTTAAAGAGAAAATTATATATAAAAACAATGAATAAAAGAAAAACAAAAAATGTAAATTCAATGAAAAAGTAATTATTTTTTTATCAATCATTTTTCTCTACCCTTTTGTCTAAGACTATCGGCTATAAAGACATGTTATATGCAATGATTTAAAATACAGGTATATTTAGGTGTAGAGTACAGTATATGTTGTACTGTATGTCTCTCTCACACCAAACATATAATAATAATGTAAAACAAAACACAATATTCTCGCGAAAAAATCTGTATATTCACAGAGAAATAGCATTTATTATTGCAATGTATTGAAGCATAGCATGAGATGATGTGATGCCAACCTTCACACACACCACACATACACCTGATATACAATACTTTTTTCTCAATTCTCACTAATACTATGCCATACCTGAGGCTCTCATTGCAAAGTCATTGAGAAAATATTAAAAAATAATACATACGAATGGTCTATGAAAATGAGGTATTGGTTGGGGGTATGGGTGGGTATAGAGGGGTTGGTATGAGTCAGCTCTTATCACAACCGCCACCAAAAAGCGATATGTATTTTAAAACATTAAATTCAATGGGAATTAAGCGCTGACTTTGGGAGTGAGGGAAACCAAAAAACGCGACCATAAAGTCATATAAAGTCTCCCTATTATTATAATACTGTATTCAAGTGAATATTTAATACACAATAGTATTATAATTATTAACTATTGTTGTTATTATAGTTATAAATGAGTTTTTGATTCAAAAATAATTTAATTTCAATGTTTTTCAAATTGTTTTTTCCAAAGTTAGCGCTTGTGTTGTGTTGTGTTTAGCCTTTTTTGTTTTGTTGCTCACAATTATGCATAACATTAGCGCAAAACCGCAGACAATAAATGCAACGACTTTTTTCACTGACACCGAGTTTTTTACTACTAGTTTTACTAATCACTGGATTTCTTTGAAAACTACATTACGTTATGTTTTTCTCGTGTAAAATATTACGTATAAAGTGCTTAATAATAACAATAACCATATCATTGCACTCATAGATAAAAAGCTATTAATATTACACTACATTAAACACATTGATTACAATGTATGCGAAAATATTATGAATTAATACATAAATATACGGAAAATATAATCATTTAAAACAATTTTCTCGCAATTCCTGGACTTGAAATACAAGTCAAAACCTATGGATATAATGTATTCTCTATAGAAATACACTATTCATTCATACAATACATTTGAAATAACATATTAAATAAATACATATATAAATAGTGCTGTAATTTCTTATGTGTGACTATTTTTCGTAAAACAATTTCTGATTTGAATATTAAATTCAAAATTTCATTCAAAAACATTTTCGCGCAAAATAATAGTGTATATCATATAAAGTGTATAATAATAATACGATATACAGGTATACGCCATGCAATGTGTATATAATAATTGGCAAAATAGCAACAATGACAATTGATGGTTACCTGGACGAGTTTTTAGCGCTGCTGAAGCCCACGTTGAATTGCGTTGAACTCATTATAATGAACTTCTCGTACACCCTATCAAACACAACCGTACATTACATTCAAAGGTATTATACATATAGTAGTAATGATTATAACGTAAGAGAAATTATTTTAATTTTTATCATTAAATATCTATTGAATACCTTATGAGAGAAAATACAATTCAACTCAAAAATGTGCTTCAATTGTATGTATAAATAGATTAGAGGCTCTATTGTGGGGGTCTATAGGGGAGAGCACTGACAGGTAGAGAGAAAAGTCACATAAAGTAACCATTATTTCACTATCCCTTCACTCTCTGTATATATCCGTCAAAAATGCTTAAAACCATTACATCTGATATTATAATAGGATTTAACATAAAAATCATTTTAATAACAATTAAACCCAAAGAGGATATCATGTGTTATAATATACGGAGTGAATAAAAAATCTGCATTTATTTTCTTATGAGAGTTTACATTAGATTAACGTTTGATAATAGGCTTCACAATAAAGTATTATTACATAATAAGAGATAAACTATTTTAATATCATTTATATGAGAGAGACGTGAATATAAGTAGTGAAATAAATATTATCGATAAGTGAGTTGTTATATAAGTTATATATAAAGTTAAATATTTAACAAATTAAATACTTTTTTATACCTTTTAGTATATGTTATGCACACAAAAAGTGTTATATAAATAGATCCTGAAGTTTGAAGTTTTCAAATTTTGTCTCAACAAAAATCTCGGTTAATAAGCGATCGGAGATATTAAGCGTTGGGTTAGAGTTTGTAATGTGTGTAAAACCAGTGCCACAAATAGGTATATATGTCTCGTTTAGGGTCAGGTATGTCCGAAACCCACACAACAATCGGCGATATATATTGAATATAAATTTCTCAAATCAAACAACAAATTAATTGACGGCAAAAAAATCGGTGTTAAGTATAGTATTGGTTAGGAATTCAATACAATGTGTGTTAGTATTTGTGTTGAAACAAACGTATGGATAGACTGTATGCGAATGAATGTGCGGCTAAACAGAGCCTGTGTTGCGCTGTAGTAGTGCTCACAGGCTTAGCGTTTTCAATGAATGTCAATGTGCTCTCTCTCTCTCTC